TGTAGGCAAAAGTGAATGTATGACTACATTAGAAACATATGGTATCTTTCAGCAGTGAGTATCTACTCAGAAGTTTAAATTCCCTTCCCTCCTGTACTCCACAGAGAATGTTCTGATCACTTAATCAGTCCATCAGAACACTGTGAATGCAAAGCACAGCACAAGATGTTCCATTGTATTTGAACGCTGAGCATCTGGAGGTTATTCAGAGTAACTTTAACCAACTCCTTAGCCAGATGGTAAAATGCAGTAGCCAAACACATAATATCAACAACATCTGGTTAATTGTCTGCTGAGGTACAACAGTCCATATCTTGGATTATGAATGCTAATTACTGATTGAATGCATTTACTGATGATTTTTTTTTAATCACAGCTTTTGCTGATCAAGTAGATGAACAGAAATACTGCAAATTTGGCAGTTCTTAGGGAATAAACCACAAATAGCTGGAATCTGATGAGTTATTTACATCCCAAGGATTTAGAGACTGGCTTGATGAAAACTTTTTCTGTTCCCAGGTGCTCGGTACGACAAAGCTGCCTCGCAGCATTCAAAGCACTGCTTCAAATAACTTCCTGATTCGAGAGCAAGACATGATTGATCATTTTCCATCAAAATGGAAAGTCATCACCGTACAGACAATTTAAAACTTATACTTCAAAATATTTTGCTTAAATTCAGACCACTGTTTGGAGAGTTAATACATCTGAGTTACTAACATATCAAACATATGGCACCTATACTGCTGTCTTTCTTGTAAATATTGCCTTCATATGTGCCATTTTCTTCTGTTAAACAGATACTTTCTTTTATTAAATCTATCTTTAATCTTCAGGTACAAGCTAGAACTATGTAAGTAGAAGGAAAATGAGCTAAAATAAGCTTTTGAGCCAAATCCTTCAACATCACATCATAACTAGATGACTGGAGGGCACGCACAGCTCGTGGTGCTGAGGAGGCAGCAACTGTTCAATCTACAGAAGCAAGCACAACTCAAATTATAATCTGAATGGAGGCAATACTTGCACCTTTCAACCGACCGTAAAAATTGCAACTTCATAGCAGTATCAAACTGGTAATACCATCAAGCGAGACTTACATATGGATTCCACTTTAGGTATTACAATTTGTGCTCTAGGCTAAAGATGCTGTATCAACTTCATTCTTGATCTGGCTATAGCAGGACTGTTAATAAATTACTGCATAAATACAGGAATAAAAGAATCCTGCAAGAAGTCACTGACAGATCACACGTATTACTAAGTCAACTTCATTTTAAGCATAAACACTTGGAAAATATTGTTCACAAACCTGTTGCCATAATCAATTTTGGCAGTCACCTTCTTTTTCAGTTCTTTGAGCTCATCCTGCGGTAGTGTCCCAGACAGTATTTGAGATCTCCACTCAATAAGATCATATATCATGTGCCGTACACTGCGAAACATTTCTCTGTTATCTTGCTGTTCCGAGGAAGAAGACGGGTAGAAGTTAATTTTGAAGTCTACAGAGCACCTTTTAAATATGTAAAATAAATTGCAATTATAAAATACAAATTCAAAAGGGTAAGAGTCTGCAATTAGCTCTAAAATGAAAGCCTAACTTTCTATAGCACAGAACACGGAATAGAGATTCTTATACTCTCCTTTAGGTACCTAAATAAGCATAAATGCTTGTGTTTGTTACCTTAAAACCCGTGTCATACTGTATTCAGAACAGGCAATTCAAGGGAAAGATATTCTTCTCCTGGTTCAGAGAGTAACTTGAGTCTTATTCTACTCAGTGAAGAATGTTATTGAATAAAAATGGTGCATTTTTTACAGCAAAAGGCTCAAGTTCTACAATATTCCACCTGCCATACATTACAGAATCCTTCTCCCCACCCCCACCCCGAGGTTAAACCTTCAAAATCAAATGCAATTCTTCTGTGTGCAAAGCCAAGTGCATCAGTATCTCACGAGTCCATAGGTAACATCTGAGGGAAAGGGAAAAACTAGGGAAACACTAAACATTATAGCAAGCTAAATATCTTAATTCCTTATAAAGGCTGGAACTACAGATATTCAATAGTGCCAGCAGCATACACAAATACTCCCTGGCAACATTCAGCTGAGTTAGGACACGGGAAGATAAAAGCTCCAGACTTACAATGGAAGAAACATCTTTTCCAGGATATTTTCTATACACATGCCCATACTCATACATGTTCAGAGACAAAGGATCAAGTCTTTAACCACAAAACAGAATGTCACGTGCTGGCTTAAACCCTGGACAGTGCATGTGCACAATTTTAGCACAAACAAGACAATACTATGCAAAACTGAAGTTTCAGAACAACAGTCTATTTTTGTTGTGAAGAATAACGTCAAGGCAAAGATGACACAGAGGCCCTGAATGCTTTGATCTAACCCCGAAGCAGCATCTCTTACTGTCTTCATAACCCTCCAAATCTAAGCCACTAGTTCAACACATTCTTAAAGGGAATACATCTTTCTAAACACCCTACATCAATGATTTATTGAGGCTAAGCGTAGCTATCTTTCATCCAGTTATTTTACAGAAAACAACTGGAATAATTGCATAATTAAAATTCTCTCCTATATATAAAAGACAGTAAAAAACTGCAGACAGTGCAGGAAAAAAAAAATACAATGATTTAAAGACTCATGGGAAAAAATTTAACTGTGAAATTTTGTGCTGGTTTTAGCTGGGATTGAGTTAATTTTCTTCACAGTAGCTGTATGGGGCTGTTTGGGATTTGTGCTGAAAACAATGTAAATAACCCAGGGATGTTTTTGATACTGCTGAGCAGTGCTGACAGAGTCAAGGCCTTTTCTGTTCCTCACCCCACCAGCGAGGAGGCTGGAGGGCGCAAGGATTTGGGAGGGGACACAGCCGGGACAGCTGACCCCAGCTGAGCAAAGGGATATTCCATCCCATATGGCCTCATGCCCCACATATAAAGCTGGGGGAAGGAGGAGGAAGGGGAGGGACATTTGGAGTGATGGTGTTTGTCTTCCCAAGTAACCATTACATGTGACTGAGCTCTTCTTTCCTGGGATGGGTGAACACCTGCCTGCCCATGGGAAGTGGGAAATGAATTCCTGGGTTTGCTTTGCTTGTGCACGTGGCTTTTGCTTTACCTATTAAATGGTCCTTATCTCAACCCAAAGGTTTCTCACTTTCACCCTTCCAATTCCCTCCCCCATCCCGCTGTGGGGGAGTGAGCGAGCGGCTGTGTGGGGCTCAGTTGCCGGCTGGGGGTAAACCACACCAAACTTAAAGACTTCAGTCTGTTCAGACTATCAAAATGCTGATTTGATTACAGTGTGAGAACCTTCACAGTGAAAAAGTACCAATTATTAAAAGCTTTTTAATGTAGCAGAGAAAGACACCACAGGCACATATGGCTGGAAGCTAAATACAGACAAATCCAAATGGGAAAGAGGTTCATGATTTTCAATGCTGCAGGCAATCATAAACTAGTGAGATGAAGAACATGCCACGTCCTCTGTTATCTGGAAATCAAAACTGAATAGTTATTCAATATTCAAACACCAATTATGAATTGAATACAGGCATAAATCTGGTCATGTAATGATTTTTGAGATGCAAAATATGGATAATATGGATTACTTCTCTAGTCTGCAGACCGACCAGTTTGAAACTGGTTACCTCTAGTCAATGAAATCTCCCTTGACAAAGCAATCCCAGTGCACCAATTCTCTTTTTGGCTGTTGTCCACATGCAATTAATCTAACAGATATCCTTGAGATACAAACTATAAACAAACTCACAAGATGATCTGCCTGCTCAGAGTCAAGCTGTAACCAGGACTGGAACCCTCTCTGCCACCACATCGAGGCCACTGATAGCGTCACACTTTGCCTGCTCCTAACCGCAAACACTGCGGCTCAACTGCAAAGCACTGCGGCTCATGTGTCTTCATGGAAGTACACGCATGACAAATTACATGTTGCACATAATTGGATAGAACAAACGATTCCCACAGTAGGAGAATTTTATAATTTCCTAAAAGTTACTGTGTACAAGTCTGGATAAGAAAACCTCCAACAACGCCTCTTGCTGTTCCTCTTTTCTTATTTATGTGTGCCACAATCAAGCCCTGTGCTTGCAGGTGCTATTTCTCTGATGTTAAGCAATATCAGATTTCATAGCCAGAATAATCCCCAAGAAAAGACTTTAGGGTCAAAATGCAATCCCCACTGCCCTCAAATGCATACAGCAGTGGAACCAAGAGCCAAGCTGTTCTCTGTGCCCTCTCGATTCTGCTCTTCCTTGTTTGCTTCTGCCTGTTTACTTCTTCCTTGCTCCTCACAACATAGCCTCTCTCGTATCACATCACATTAAAGCCCTCTCCTACATATAAACTGTTTCTCTTCACGTAACGTATTATCCTTTGTCGCACCTATTGCGACACCACATCACTCGAGCAGACCATGGTTTTAAATTTTATTTTCATAGGCATGATTAAATCCACATTAGTCAACACCAACATTTTCATTGCCAGTTAGTGACACAGCTTTTTATGATACAAGATTTCAAACGTACTGATATGAAACCGAGACTCTGCCTTAAACCCTGCTGGAAATAACACATCTTCACAGTAGTTTGTTACAGTGACCTTACTAATCATGAGCATGGGATGTCCCAGCGAGGGTACCTTACATAGAACTGTTAAGGTTTGAAAAGACCTTCAAGACCATCAGGTCCAACCATTAACCCAGCCCTGCCAAGACCACCACTAACCATGTCCCTGAGCACCTCACCCACACAGCTCTGAAACTCCTCCCGGGACGGGGACTCCCCCCTCCCTGGGCAGCCCCTTCCAACCCTGACAGCCCTTCCCGGGAAGGAATTTCCTCAATATCCAATCTAAACCTTCCCTGGCACAACTTGAGGCCATTTCCTCCTGTCTAATCCCTTGTCACTTGGGAGGGGAGACAGACCCCCAGCCCCACACCCTCCTTTCAGGGAGTTGTAGAGAGTGATAAGGTCTCCCCTGAGCCTCTCCTTCTACATACTACAACATGCTGTTACTTTACACCCGAGCTGCAGTCTTAAGTGTGCATGTGAACACTCTTCAGACCTTAATTTGGAATACTTCAATATGTGCAGTTTCATGGCTATTTATTTTTTTCTGTTATCCCATCTGAGAGGTTATCAATGCAAATGTGTATTACTGTAAATCTCTAAGAGTATATTCTTATATGCTTGGAACTTAAGTATGTGAAAATAATCAGGCACGTAACTTCATGTCAGGATGAACGGGGAATAATCAACTTCAAGTACAAGAATACTGAGAGGTAAAAGGCATACACTAATAATTTTTCTAAGGTCAAAGTTTCCACACAAATTTGACATCATATAATCAATTTTTCCATAACACAGATAACAGCCTTAAGAACTGCCCTCAAAACATATGTCTTCATTTCTTTAACACACTCATCTACAGATTTGGAAAAATCTAATGTACATCTTAAGTATTCAATGTATTCTGTGTAATAGTACCCTACGAAAAAGGGGTCATAACTGCTCAACCATTTGTTTCTAGATCAAGGTAACACTGTAAAAACCTGATTCTGCCGAAGAAATGCACACTACTTGAGAAAATACTCAGAAGAAACTGAGATTTGTGCCTTAACATAGAAGATACTAAACAGCTTTTCAGCATTAAAAGCAGCCTTTAAAAACAGTAACAGAAGCAGGATCTCATCGTTAACTTCTACTTCTCACTCTACCTTCCACAGCATCACGCTCTTCACAAACCACATACCATTGCAAATGTTGTCCTACGTTGATACTTACAACATACAACTGTCGCCATATTATGGACCATTCCCGCAGCGTTGTGGTAACCTCCTGAATCAAGGGGAGCTCATTGGGTATAACTGTTTCGTGTTGCCTTAAGAGGAAGAGAAAAGAAATGTTTGAATTAAGTAAGAGTTTTGGGTAGGGTGGCAGAATCATTTTTAAGAAGCAATTGATCATTTCTGAAGCCAACTGAATGATGAAAAGAACACTTGTTGCAAATTTATAGGGTAACAAAGAACATATCATCAGATACAAGAGAAGCAGTGTACACTACTCCATCCATGCCATGCAAAGGGTACTTCGGTGGGCTCAGACTATGCTACCGAGCTCAAGCCTTCTTCTTTCCCCTGTCCTTGTTTCTATACTCACAAGATAAGGATATCGATACATACACCTCACCAAAACATCTGTTACTGAGATACTAATTTTAGAAGAAGCAACCAAGACAAAACCAACCTACAATGCCATGATACTAATGCAGAATTGGTTTGCAAAACAATGGTCTTGCAAAGAAAAATTAAATATGCAAGTCATTACTGTTAAGTTTCTGTATGACTCGTTTTAAAATTATGTACCACAAAAGCAAGAAACAACACGTAAAAGTTTTAATATTTCAGAAGTAGGGTACTTACAAGCAGTTTTGTAATCAGCAAAAAAGATGTTATGCAGCAATCTCATGATTAGTACTTTTATCATTTACATATTTAACAGTGTATAAAAATAAATCGGGCACAAAGGAATAACATATTTTAATCCTGTTTCACTCCATTTCATACCTGGCTAATTATTTATTCATTTCAGTCCACCTTTTTTTGCTGGGGTTTGGGGTTGGAGCTTTTTTCCTGTTTAACTAAACTTTTGTATCATTTTGATAAACTTCTACATGCATGTGAAGCAGTACTAATTTTATATAGAAAGATCTGAACTTCTCATCTTTAACAGCTGTCAAATAACAAAAACCAGCCCAAACTATTTAGTGTCACACATATCAACACGGAAGCAGCAGAATCACAAAATGAACAATTCGACAGAACAACCAGTAAGGCAGAGAAACAATGCTTGGATAACAGTTTCAGCAAGGAGTCCAGTCTAAAGGGATTTACTGAAGAAGGAATTAAGAAATTACTTAAATTTCATCTGCATAAAAGAAAGGTAGCTCATATCAAAGACCTCTTAATATACCAGGCAGAAGCCATTAGACTCAAGGGCTGAAAGATAAAAAGATGGGAAAACTGAAATCAGGACTAAAGCAGGGGGCAGGGAATGGAGGAATTAACCTAGGTAATCGTCAGTCCAGAGAGTAATACCAGTTATAAATAAAAACAGTAAATTACCAATTCTTCTGCAACCTTTACACTAATACAGAGAAGGTTATGCTTTAATTCAACTCTGAGATGCAGCTAAGGACAGTACTAACCAGAAGCACTGCTGATGACAGGACCTGCAAACCTGAGCTAAGTTACTAACTTAAAATACTTTAAAACACACACACATTTTTGTCATCAGCTCCTTAGTTAACTGGAAAAGTGCATAATTATTTGACAATGCACTGAAATTACGCAGATACAAACAGGAAAATGAATTCTGATTATCTTCAAATCAAACTTACCCTTTGCCTTCAACTATTGCTTCCTTAAGATGGATATATGAGGCAGGAAATATGCCCTGTGACAGGGAGAGAGAAAAGAAAAAGTTTTAAATAAGTAGTTGCATATAACATTTTATCTATGACCTAAAAAGATGCCACATAAGACACACTGGTCTGCAGAGCCACTCACACCCTCTTAACCATCAGAATAGCTGCGCTGTGGTGGTTTGGGTATTTTTTAAACATACATTCAAACTTTGTATGGCACATTCTTTCAAGAGGGTGTTACTGTAACATTAGCAAACGGGTTCAGTGGATTTTAACTTCTCCTCCCAATACTGAGGAAAGCAGCAGTGATATCCTGTGGTCCTGGAAAGAGGTGTTTCCTCCCCCCAGTTCAACATACAGTCTGGCAGGATTCTCCAAGTCCCTGGGTGACTATACACAGATGCAAATTAAGACAGACTTGCATTTCAAAGACAGATGATTTTAAATAGATTACTCCAAAATAACATTTTTCCTGTAACTATTATTCTGTAATCCAGATCAGCTGCTTGCTTGTCCTCGTGTCTAACCCAGCTTTCTTAACCTGCCCCAGCATTTTGCTTCTGCTCCCAAAGTGTTTCATCCCGTGCTTCCAAGCTTCCAGTTAAAACAAACACCGTGTGAGAACATATGCACTGCCATGCTGTGAAATCAGTGGGCACGTGTGCACGCGGAACACGCACATGCTGCACTCCAGCACAGAGTGCACAGAATACATGTAACCTCGCGTCCTCTACCATCAACCTGTGGACAGTGCTACAAGCCAAACACCTCATCCACAGGCTCTGCTGCAGAAGGCCAGTCCTACTCTACTGCAAAAGTGTTCTAAATTGATCTCAAGATTCCAGAAATACAATAATATCTTGGATCAAGTCCAGAGGAGGCCACAAAGATGCCCTGAGGGCTGGAGCTCCCTTGCCATGGGGACAGGCTGAGAGAGTTGGGCTTGTTCCAACTTGTTCTCTCTCAGCCTGGAGAAGAGAAGGCTCCAGGGAGACCTTATTGCAGCCTTCCAGTACCTGAAGGGGCTACACGGAAGCTGGGGGGGACTTTTTACAAGGGCCTGTAGTGACAGGACAAGGGGTAACGGGTTTAAATTGAAAGTGGGGAGGTTTAGATTAGATATCAAGAAGAAGTTTTTCATAGAGAGTGGGGAGGCACTGGGACAGGTTGCCCAGAGAAGCTGTGGATGCCCCATCCCTGGAAGTGTCCAAGGCCAGGCTGGATGAGGCTTGGAGCAACCTGGTCTAGTGCAAGGTGGCCCTGTCCACAGCAGGGGGTGGAACTAGAGGGTCTTTAAGGTCCCTTCCAACCCAAACCATTCTGTGATTCTATGTTCAAAATAGTGTAAGCTCATATTAAAAATAATTCATGTGAAACTGAGAAAAAAGTTCCTCCACCTCACCCTTGGAGTTAGTATTTCAGTTTTCATATCATGTGGGAATGCAAAAAAATAAGTTCTTAGATAGCTACAGAAACTGGAGGTGGGGGGGGGGGGGGGGGGGGTGTGGTCTTTTCATCCAAGTAAAGAAAACAACACTCCATTTAGCAGTTAGACAAACACAGCAACATGTGGAATTCATTTAAGCCAAGAAGAACGTGCAATTTGTTTAGACTGTACAAGGCATATTTGTGAAATACAGTTTGTAAGAAATGTACTGTATTTCCAAAAACAGAAAATATCAAAATAGAATAGAAAAACCACAGAACAGGCCTGGTTAGGAAATGGGTGGGATGAACAACACAGCTCAGCTCTGACTTTAGACATACAGATGCAACTCAAAATGCACCTCTGTAGGCAAACATTACACTTGAAGTGTTTTACTTTAAGTGAAAAGAGCAGCAAAAACAGAAGTCATTTAATTCTGGTTAATTACTACTATAAAGTAAAACACTGAAAAAACTAAAACACAATGTTATAAGGTGGATTTGTGCTGTTTCCTTTCTTTTTATTTCAGAAAGGCTGCTACAAACAGCAGCCCTTTATGCGCACTGAAAGCCTAACAACTAGGCAAAATTACACCGCAGGAGATTACTCCCCCTCTCGCAGAGAACGACTTGGAATCACAATGTAAATCTCCATATCGCTTTCCACGACGCAATTGCTTTTTACGAGTCATACGTTACTTAACAGACAGCGAAGCAAAGTGTCAACCTCCCAACACATCGACTAGAACATAAAGTTCTGAACTTTTTAGAGGCAAAGGCGCTGCTGCACCAGCTACTACAGAAAACAAGCTGATGCACATCATCTACAGTGACTGCACATGCATATGCATTTAAATTGCAACTCAGCTGTAGGCCTTGCTAAAATAAGTTTCAGTTAACTTGAAAAATTCACATCTCCTACAGGTTGAGACTACACACCAGCAGTCAGTGGAGATCAGCGGACACTCGGCACATCGCTCCCACGCAGTACAGTAATACATGCCTGAGATGTCCCTTATTAACACCACACCCAACACCATAATACATCTCTGTCCAAGAGAAAAATGAGCATTCTGCTCGGGCAACACTTACTTTCTTGGATTTTTTTCGTAGTGTATAACCTCTGTACCAACCTAGGAGGGAAAAAGGGAAAAAAGCATTAAAAAGTTCATTAATGTCACGCAGCAGCTGCTCCTGCTCAGCTCAACAGCACCTTAATGCAGTTTCTGATCACGTTCCATCCCTGCCAACATGCACACGCACTCCCCCCCTGAATTTAAATTCACTACAGAATTAATATCCTGGCTAAAACAAGTCTTCTTGGGAGCTATAAAAGTCAGAGTGACAATCAAACTGATGGAGAAGACTACATGACAGAGACGGTGTTTTATACGACGCATTTAATTGCCATTCATTTCATTTTAATTACTAATTTACCAACATAAACAAAACCAACTTAAGAGCATTAACTTTACAAGAATGTACTGATTCACTAGTTTGATTTTAAAACCTATTTAAGTTGCACAACTGCAAGTTTCCAAATGTAGAGCAGCCGTTTGTCATC